GTCACTAACCTCCTAGTTGATCATGGCCAGCTCATTCAAGATTAGCTCTGGACCTTTCTAGGTCTCAGAGTTCTCATTTGGAGATGAGAAGTTTGGACTGGAAGGGTCTACAAAGCCCACACTCCCCTGCTTCCCCTGCTCTGGCCCCAAAGTTATTTTTTTCTGTTTTTTTTGAAATAAAAATGTGTGGCCCAACTAGCCTTTGCTTCTCACTAGTTGATGTCAACACTGAGGATGCCAAAGGACTAATATAAAAATGAGCATTCATATGGATTTTTTTTTGTCTAAGAACCAAAATGGGATTGTATCACAGCAGCTCTGTGTGATTGCAGCAGAAGGCACATTTAAGTAGTTGAAATTTCCCAAACTTGCCGTTGCTCATTGGCTGTAGAATATAAACATAGCCATTGGCTAACCACTTGTTTGACTTAAAACCGTGAAAAATGATTGACCCAGCAACGACAAATGGCTATTTATTCTCACCAAATCATGCAAAAGAGCAAAGATATTAATCGAAAGTAAGGGGAAAAAAGAGCTTGTGAGTGATCCAGATATTTTAAACATCGTGGTGTTTGGAAGCATCTGGATACTTCACATCTTTTTTTTTTTTTTTTTTTTTGTTCATTTATCATCCAGATGTTCACCATCATGGAATCACTACTTGAAACTCTACTTCGGCTAATAACTTAGAGTGGAAACGTTTGTATCTTTGGTTGGTTGCCCTTTGGTGCTCCATTGATCCCTCTGTCTTCCTCTAAGTCCCTCTTCCTCAGAATCCCCGGGAATGTGGCAATTTTGCCAGATGCTTAGGTGTTGGCCTTCAGATTTCTTTTTTTAATCTTCATGACCGCTCTGTACCCTGTCTGCTTGAATTATAGATTGCATTTGTCAAATAATGACACATGCAATTGGGTGTCTTCTAAGACCTTTGAAATTCAACTTCCTTAAGTTGAGATTAAAGTGGATATTCTGCTGCCCTGCCGCAGTCAAGCCTGGGATGCTTTGAGACCTGCATAAGTTTTTCTAGGCTGGCATTTCTAACTCTTACTGTCTGGAGGAAAGAAAAACAAGCTACTTTTTTCTTCTGAATGGTAGAAATGGAGACGGTAAAAACTATCTAAAATGTGGTCCCAGTTAGAAAGGACTCTGAGATCAACAACTTTTTGAAACATGACTGTCTGTTGGAGTGTCTTGAATTATGTGTTTCTTTGGGCATTCAGGAAGCCTTATCAGTTGTGAGTGAGGACCAGTCGTTGTTTGAGTGTGCCTACGGAACGCCACACCTGGCTAAGACGGAGATGACCGCGTCCTCCTCCAGCGACTATGGACAGACTTCCAAGATGAGCCCACGCGTCCCTCAGCAGGACTGGCTGTCTCAACCCCCAGCCAGGGTCACCATCAAAATGGAATGTAACCCTAGCCAGGTGAATGGCTCAAGGTAAGGAGACTTCCGCCCCTTTCTCTCCCCGACCTCCCATTTTCCTATCCTTTAGAAAGACAAAGTGGAAGTGAGTCATGCTTCTCCAAAGATGGACGTAGAAAACAAGGCCACTGGGTCTGTAGTCTCAGCTACTCGGGAGCCTGAGGCAGGAGGATCGCTTGAATCCAAGAGGCAGAGGTTGCAGTGAGCCGGGATCATGCCACTTCATTCTAGCCTGGGTGACAGAGCAAGACTCTGGCTAACAAAAAAAAAATGAAAAAAAAAGAAGGAAGAAAGAAAGGCCATTGAACGGTGATGTTGGGCAGCGCTGGGAAAATGTGTTCTCCAGTGGTTTGTGTCGAGGATGGAGTTTGTAAAATCAGTAGTATATTTACCAAGAACTCTCTTTGAAGATGTGTTCAATTCTATTTCCCAGGCACAAGGGCTCTGTGGGAGGGGAGCCTTGCCCACATATGGTGGAATTCATCTGAGGTTTGATTGCCCGTAAAATAATGCTGTCTTATGTTTTCACAAAGGGAGAGTGTCAGCTAGTGGCCAGGCGGTGCAGTGTATGTCCAAGCCATTTGAATTTGCTAGTGGATCTCCATTATCTGCCCTCCACCCTGACCCCACCCTCCGATCCCTGCGGTCCTCTTCTCTTAATGCCTGCTGTTTTATTTTCTCCTCTTAGCTTACACGTAAAGCCCGCTCCGGTGTCTCCCGTAATTATTAGCTTCCCTGAGTTTGTCATGAACATGCGACTGTCATGTAAAATGTATTACCAAATGCAGAACTGTCCCTGGCCCTCAAAAAGCATTGAATTATGTGTAGTTTTGAAAAGTAAAATTAATTTTAATTATTATCTAATACCCCATATGTATTCAGGAAAAAGAATATCAAATCTTAGGATCAAGAACAGATTATTTCTTTTAAATGTTGCATAATCTACCATCCAGTCATAAGAACAGCTCACATTTTCAGACACTTTACTGTGTACAAAGCTCTTTTCTATCCAATAGCCCCTCAGTCCTCCAAGCAGCCCCTGATGAAGCACACTCGACCCTATTTGATGGATGAAGAAACCTGTGACCAGGCATTTCCAATCTGACCCCAAATCACCACTTAAATGGAATCAGAATTTGGATTTAAACCAGGAGCGTTTGACTCCACACCCTGAGCATTTTCCACTCGGTTGAAGCTGTAATGGGGCCTTTTTGTTACATACATGTTTGAACGCTAAAAAGGTTTATTATAAGTGTCATAGTTTATAAGTCTGGAAACGGTTGCGTCAATTCCTAGTGTGGTGTTAATGAAGGTGCCAAGTCACAGTGTCCTAGAGGGAATGTCAACAGCAAGGCTGGACATGCCAGATGGGGAGATGGGAGATGCCAGAGCGCTCCTCCACTCCAAGAAGTCAGTTCACGTCTGTGCATCTAGCTTCCTGAAAGGGCACTGGCTCTGATGCTAAATATTGCCACCACACTGGTCCTTTAAGTGGAGCTCAAGGCAGGCCCATCTTGGATCTCATCAAGAGATTCCTTCCAGGAGTTATGGAAGGACATGGGTAGAAAATGCAGCGATGGGTCCAGGGCACCAGAGTTGTGAGAAGTTAATGATTACATCTAAATATTTTTTACCCACAAATCCTATACATTTGATACAGTGTTTCTGCTGATCATTAACTGTATATATTTCTGAAACACAGAAGAACGCAGGGTAATCATGTTCTAAAGAATGCAGCAGTGTTTATGCAGGAGATCAGTTGGTGGAACGTAACCTGGGAGCACTGAATGAATTCTATTTTGGGTGGAGTTATATGATCCCATATACGCCAGCGTGATCACGGCAGAGACACTAAGACTGGGACATATTTCTAAAGCTTTTCTTCTGCAGAGGCTGATTTCTACCTATGGGCAATTCACCTGCAGGGAGGTGGGGGATGTTGGAAAGGGGAGAGAGAGGAAGGAAACACCTCAGACAAAGGGGCACTGAGATGATTTCCGATGGACAACAGGCAGAGTGAGCCATGTCCTGGCCCTTGTTTGAGAGTCTGGCCTGGGGCCAGTCTGGATTCAGCAAGCCTCCAAAGGGAGACTGAGTGAGGAGGCGAGAACAGTGCTCCAGAAATGAAAGTTTCTGCTGTTCTCACTGTGTTATTCCCGAATTTAAAATAAAATAAGCGTTCTGTTTGTGGGAGAAGTGCAAACACTGTTTTCCTTAGCGTGGGCCTGTGATTCCGCTTGGTAGCTGCTGTCTCCTCTCCCTCCTGGCCAGGCATGGGGCTGCTTTTCCAGCCTATGTTGTGACCCCAGGGTTCAGGCTGGGAGTTTGGGGCAACCCTGAGCCACAGGCAAGGGGCTTCAGCCCGTAAGAAAGACACCAGGCATTTCCCCCAGGGCCCTCAGCGCAGCAGACTGGGGAAAGCTCCTGGGTGGTTATTCTGTCAGGCAAGTGAAAGGCTGGTGCTGCACTGAGGGTCTCTTTCTGGGAAATCTTTTTCAGGGGAACTGGACATTTTCTTTTTTTTTTCTTTTTCTTTTAGATGGAGTTTTGCTCTTTTTTACCCAGGTTGGAGGGAAGTGGCACGATCTCGGCTCACTGCAACCTCCACCCACCGGGTTCAAGCGACTCCCCTGCCTCAGCTTCCTGAGTAGCTGTGATTACAGGCATGCACCACCATGCCTGGCTGAATTTTGTATTTTTAGTACAGACGGGGTTTCACCATGTTGGCCAGGCTGGTCTCGAACTCGATCCACCTACCTCGGCCTCTCAGATTGCTGGGAGTACAGGTGTGAGCCACCGCGCCCGGCCTGGACATTTTCTTTCAAGGAAACAATGGGAACTTTAAGAGCTTCCTGTCTCAGGGCTCACAGAATTCTCATTGCTCCCGTCATAAACTTTCAATGCTGTTCCAGCTCTTGAAGCATCGGTGATGTGTTTTGGTGGGTGAATACTGAGTGAAGATCATCATGTCATCCTCTTCATCCTCCGGGTCCTCTGGTGGATTCGCAGCGATGTGGGTTTGGCGGGTGCTGTTCATGAAGAGAACAAGGTGGACCCCATCTGCCTTCAGTCCAGGCCTACGTGCCTCCTTTGAGGAAAAGGGCAGCTGGGTTGAAATAGGCAGGGGAGGAACAGTGACTGCAGAGGCCGCCTCAGCTTTGAGGCATCTAGCAGTGTACAGATGTCAACCAGTCACCAAGTGTCATCGTCCCCCACCCCCAAGGATATTCCAGGGGAGGGAGAGGAGTGGCTGACACTAATCCCCTTTGTAGAAGAGAAAGATACAGAGCTCATGCCCGTCTCCCCCAGAGCTCAGTGTGTCTCCTGGCATTGTATCTGGGTGCTGGCCTGGTGTATCAGTGAGAATTCTCTAGAGAAATAGAACCTATAGGCTATTTTAATATTTTAAGACATTTATTGGAAGGAATTGACTAATGCAGTTGTGGGAGTGGGCAGGTCTGAGATCTGCAGGGGAGGCTGGCAGGCTGGAAACTAGGCAGGATTTCTGTGTTACGGTCTTGAGGCAGAATTTCTTCTTCTCTGGAAACCACAGGCTTTGTTCTTAAGGCCTTCAACTGATTGGATGAGGCCCACTCACATCATCCAACATAATCTCCTTTAGTCAAGTTCAACTGACTGAGTTACCTGCGCAAAATGCTTTCCCAGTACCACCTCAGTTAGCGTTTGATGAAGTCACTGGGTGCTACAGCCTGGCCAAGCTGACCCAGGAAACCGACCCCGACACCTGGCTTCCAGGGATGCTGCACTGATCAGTGACTGGTGGCCCATTGTACTTTTTAGATCTCCAAACCAGTGTGCTCTGGGGGGTCAGTTCAGTGCTACTGCTGGAACTCAGCCTGACTGGTGGCGTGTCAGGTCAGAGGTTCCCTAGGGGACTGCTCAAGCTCAGTGACCTGAAAGAGCTGAAACGTAAGTGGTGAGTCAGTGTCCTGCTATGAAGAATCCAGCGGGCTTCCTGAAGGGGACTGGGGGAAAAGAAAGCTGAAAGGTCATCAGTGGAGCTAAGACTCATCTCAGCCAGAGCTTGGAGGCAGCCTTGGGGCAGACAAAGGGCTGCCTGGGATCCAATCCGCAGGCTTTGCTGACTCACTGTGGTTTTTGTTGTTGTTGTTGTTGTTGTTGTTTTTGAGACACAGTTTTGCTCTTGTCACCCAGGCTGGAATGCAATGGCGTGATCTCGGCTCACTGCAACCTCTGCCTCCCGAGTTCAAGTGATTCTCCTGCCTCAGCCTCCCAAGTGGCTAGTTTTCATATTTTTAGCAGAGATAGGGTTTCACCGTGTTGTCCAGCCTGGTCTCGAACTCCGTACCTCAGGTGATCTACCCACCTCAGCCTCCCAAAATGCTGGGATTACAAGTGTGAGCCGCCATGCCCGGCCGCACTATGGGCTCTTTACGAATGTCAGGCGCAGCTCCATAAAAAGGAACATGGGCGTGATTCACTCTGCTTTATTTTGGACCCCGTGAACCAGCACTGGGCTGTGTTAGCCCAGCTTGAGGGGCGGGGGCAGAGATCGGGTTCATGGAGACGCAGAGTTCATGGAGACGCAGATTCTGCCGTGGAGGGGCTCACAGCAGAGATGCTGCGGAGCTGTGTCTGGCTCCCCGACTCCGGAGGAGCCCCGCTGGGAATGCAGCTCCTGAACGCTCCACTGCCTGCACCTGCATCCTTCCAGACTCCGAAGCCCCAGGCCAGCTGTGCCAGGGAGTTAGCCCATCTCCTGGCCCCTGGCCCAGTAGCTTCTTCTAATTGTCCCTCCTCTTAGCTTATGCATAATGGGCTTTCCTGTAGTGCACATGCCTCTTGAAGTCAAGTCCAAGGGGAAGTTACGTAAGTCAAATATTACTCTTTGGCTAGAACTTGTGGGCTGTTACCTTTGTGGCCCCTGACTATCTTGCAAACACCTCCATAGGAGAATTGCACTCTCTGCAGCGTAGGTCTTGCAAGAACATGGCCCACCTCCTTCTGCATAGAATATCCAGCTTGGGAATGGT